CAACTTTTTACCATTCAAGTAATAATCCTTTTTACTATTACTCCTACCAAAATGTATGACTTCACATTTATTTACATTGTATTCCATCTGCCAGACCTTTGCCCACTCACTCAATGTATCTATGTTCCTCTGCAAAGTTTCACAATCCTCTGCACACTTTGCTCTGCCACTCATCTTAGTGTCATCTGCAAACTTTGACACCCTACACGTGGTCTCCAACTCCAAATCATCTATATAAATTGTAAATAATTGCAGTCCCAATACCGATCCCTGAGGCACAACACTAGTCACTGACTGCCAGCTAGAATAGCACTCATTTATCCCCACTCTTTGCTTCCTGTTAGTCAACCAATCCTCTATCCATGCTAATACTTTACCCTTAACGCCATGCATCCTTATCTTGTGCAGTAGCCTCTTGTGCGGCACCTTGTCAAAGGCCTTTTGGAAGTCTAGGTACACCACATCCACTGGGTCCTCATTGTCCACCTTGCTCGTAATGTCTTCATAGAATTCCAAAAGATTTGTCAAGCATGACCTGCCCTTCATGAACCCATGCTGCATCTGCCCAACGGGACAACTTCTATCAAGATGCCTTGCTATTTCTTCCTTGATAATAGACTCAAGCATCTTCCCCACTACAGAGGTTAAGCTAACCGGTCTATCATTCCCCATCTTTTGTCTACTTCCCTTTTTAAACAGTGGCATCACATTTGCTGTTTTCCAATCTGCTGGGACTGCCCCAGAGTCCAGCGAATTTTGGAAAATTACCGCCAGTGCACCTGCTATTTCTCCCGCCATCTCTTTTCGTACCCTGGGATGCATTCCATCAGGGCCAGGAGACTTATCAATCCTTAGCTCCATTAGCTTGCCCAACACTACCTCTTCCGTAATTATGATTGTTTCCAGGTCCTCACCTACCTTCGTCTCTTTGTCAATTACTGGCATGTTATTAGTGTCCTCCACTGTGAAGACCGATACAAAATACCTGTTCAATGCCTCGGCCATTTCATCATATCCCATAACTAAATTCCCCTTCTCATGCTCTAAAGGGCCAACGTTTACTTCAGCCACTCTTTTTCGTTTTATATATTTATGGAAACTTTTCCTATCTGTCTTTATATTCTGCGCTAGTTTTTTCTCATGTTCTACCTTACTTTTATTTCTAGCTCTTTTTGTGGCTTTCTGTTGACCTTTAAAGTTTTCCCAATCTTCTAGTTTCATGCTGTTTTTGGCCACTTTGTACGCCTTCTCTTTCAATTTGACAGCCTCCCTTATTTCTTTAGACACCCATGGCAGATTACCCCTTTTCTTACAGTCCTTCCTTTTCACTGGAATATACTTTTGCTGAGCACTTTGAAAAATTGCTTTGAAAGTCCTCCACTGCTCGTCAACTGTCCCACCATAAAATCTTTGTTTCCAGTCTACTTTAGCCAAGTCCTCCCTCATTCTATTGTAGTTCCCCTTGTTCAAGCACAGGACCCTGGTATTGGATTTTATCTTCACGCTCTCCATCTGTATTCTAAATTCAACCATACTGTGATCACTCCTTCCAAAAGGATCCCTAACTATGAGGTCATTAATTATTCCTGTCTCATTACACAGGACCAGATCTAGGATAGCTTGCTCCCTCGTCGGTTCCATTACATATTGTTCAAGAAAACTATCACGGATACACTCAACAAACTCCTCCTCAAGGCTACCCTGACTGAGCTGGTTCGACCAATCTACATGTAGATTAAAATCCCCCATGATAATTGCCGTACCATTTTTACAGGCATTAGTTATTTCTTTGTTTATTGCCCGCCCCAATGTGATGTTGTTACTTGGTGGCCTATAGACTACGCCTATCAGTGACTTTTTCCTCTTAGAATTTCTAATTTCCACCCAAATGGATTCAACCTCATTCTCCATAGAACCTATATCATCTCTCAGCACTACCCTGATGTTGTCCTTGAATATCAGAGCTACACCACCTCCCTTACCTTCCTGTCTGTCCTCCTGAATAGTCTGGTACCCTTGGATATTTAACTCCCTGTCGTGACCATCCTGTAACCTTGTCTCCGTAATGGCTACCAAATCATATTCATTTGCGATGATTTGTGCCGTTAAATCATCAACCTTGTTACAAATGCTACGAGCATTCAGGTAAAGTGCCCTTATGCTAGCTTTCTTACCCTCACGATTTCCAACATCTCTAATAATATCTCCTGAGTTGTCCTTCTTTTTTTGCTTCTTTCATAGTCTGCCTTGAACTTAAACCCTCCTGCACACATGCTAACCTGCTGCTTACCTTTTTATTTACCATCATACTCCCTGTCATTTTCCCTTTCCCTTCCCCCCAACACACTAGTTTAAAGTCCTAGTGACCACCCTATTTATCCTTTTCGCTAGAACACTGGTTCCAGATCGGTTCAGGTGGAGACCGTCCCATCAGTACAGATCCCTCCGGTTCCAAAACTGATGCCAACGCCCCATGAAATGGAACCCCTCTTTCCCACACAACTCCCTTAGCCACGTGTTTACTTCCCTAATTTTCTTATCCCTAAACCAATTTGCACGTGGCTCGGGCAGTAATCTGGAGATTATGACCCTCGAGGACCTGTTCCTTAATTTCGTTCCTCGTGCTTGATAATCCCCAAACAGGTCCTCCATCCTAGCCTTGCCTATGTTGTTAGTCCCAACGTGAACCACAACAACTGGATCCTCCCCCTCCCGCTCCAATATCCTTTCAAACCAGTCAGAGATGGCCTGCACCCTGGCACCGGGCAGGCAACACACCATGCGGGACTCTCAATCCAGCTTGCAAAGGATACTATCTATCCCCCTAACTATAGAATCCCCTATAACTACCACTTGTCTTTTTGCTCCCCTCTCTTGAATGGCCTTCTGTACCATGGTGCCGTGGTGAACTGGCTCATCCTCCCTGCAGCCCTTTTCCTCATCCACACAGGGAGAAAGTATCTCGTACCTGTTGGATAAGGTCAAAAGCTGAGGCTCCTCCACTCCCGAACTCAGGATCCCCCTACCTGCCTCACTTGCAGTCACACCCTGTTGTCCCTGATCACTAACTGAATTTGAATTACTTAATCTACTAGGTGTGACTGCCTCCTGAAACAAAGCGTCCAGGTAACTCTCCCCCTCCCAGATGTGCCACAGTGTTTGAAGCTCAGATTCCAGATCTTCAACTCTGAGCCAGAATTCTTCCAGCTACCAACACTTGTTGCAGATGTGGTCACTGCCGTTCACAATGGGATCAGCCAGCTCCCACATCATACAGCTACAGCACATCACCTGCCCAGCCATCTCTACTTAGTTAATTACTTTATATCAATTTATGAGTTAAATACTTTCTAATACTTCTCTGCTATGGTCTTTTCAAATAACCAATTGATCGATAAATAAAAAAAGAAAGTAAATTTTTAACCAATTACACAATACAGAAGAAATAGAAAAAGTATAAAAGCCTTACCTTACCAACACACCACAGAGTCCTTTTTTTTTGGTTAGAGGAGGAGGGCGTTTGGGAGACACTACACGTTTAGTGTCTCAGGTTCAGCTGCTGCCCAAATATATTCCCGGCAGCCCCCTGGTCCTCGCGGTCGCCTCTCCCGCTGCTGCTGAAAAATGAAGGCCAAAGCAATGAGTAATTCGTCTGCCCGTATGTGGACCTGCAGCTTTTTCGGTTATTAGGAGTACAACTTTGTCTGAGGTACCAGATACTAAAACCTTTCAAGAGTTGATGAATTTAGCTAAGGAATATTACAACCATATGTCTCCTCCAATTCTGAGATGCTATCGGGTTTACTCAACAGTTAGAGAACCAAGGGATTTTTGAGAGGTTAAGACAACTAGCAGAGGAATGTGATTATGGTTTAACCCTAAGTGAGATACTTAGAGACCGCTTGGTATGTAGGATAAATGATGTAATCCTGCAAAAAGCACCAACTCGCTGAAATGCAACTGGACTTCAAACAGGCACTACAACTGGCTTCATTGAAACAAAATGCAGCAAGTGGAGCATATGAGTTGTAGGGTATGCTGATGGAAGTAGACACCCTCGCTGGGCTGACTGAGCTTGGGGAATGCCATTTGAGTGAAGGCAATTGCACAGTTTAACTCAGGAGATATCCTGAACAGAGAAAGTCAAGGTCAGCCCACAGGAAAACCTCAAAACAAAACCAAGCTTCGGCCAAATGGTTAAAATTTTCTCAAGGCAGGACATGATAGTTGCTGCTGATATGTCGACTCAAGACAGCAAAAGAGTCCTACCGGACCTGAAACTAGACCTGAAATGAGTAAAAGAACACAGATCCAGGAGAATACCTGGAAAGTCCACCTACAGCTGGTTTGGAAAAATTAAATTGCTTAACAACAGCCAAATTAAAATCAATCAAAATAAATGTCTGGTTAAATGGTCACCAAGTCCTAATGGAGATTGATACTGGTGGAGTTATATCAGTGATTGTGGAACTAGTCTTTGCCAAATACAATAAATCAGGTGGACTTCCTGTTATTCAGAAGGAGAAGGTAGCATATTAATATCCAGGCACTTGGGTCCGTTCTCCCATTTTCTCTTCTTTCCCTATTGTTCAAAAATATATATATTCATTCGTATATCCCTTACTCACTATTTCACGACATTCTACATTCATGCTATTTCAGTTACTGCAGTGTTAACACTACTTGTATTAACTTTTTCAATTCTATTACTTGCGTTCGACATACTAGTCTTACAACAGCAAAAACTTCGGCCATACAACTCCAGCCCAAAGTTCTGCGGCTTCTTATCGTCACTCAGAGATTAGAGCAAGGCCACGCCAAGACACATGCTGTACAATAGCCTTTGCAACAGCTTCTATCTGGCGTTGCTGCCTACAAATTGTGCAAGGTCAGTCATTGTTTAACACTGTATTTATTTTTGCAATCTTCAGCAGAGAATAACAAATTCTCCCCTCTCTAAGTCATAACTATGTCCTAACCCCAATCCCCAAAAGTGCCTTGGACTCCTTCAGTGGGGTTTTCAATCAAACATAGAACATTACAGCGCAGTACAGGCCCCTCGGCCCTCAATGTTGCGCCGACCTGTGAAACCAATCTGAAGCCCATCTAACCTAAACTATTCCATTATCATCCATATGTTTATCCAATGACCATTTAAATGCCCTTAAAGTTGGTGAGTCTACTATTTTTGCAGGCAGGGCATTCCACGCCCTTACTACTCTCTGAGTAAAGAACCTACCTCTGACATCTGTCCTATATCTATCACCCCTCAATTTAAAGCTATGTCCCCTCGTGCTAGCCATCACCATCCGAGGAAAAAGGCTCCCACTGTCCACCCTATCTAATCCTCTGATCATCTTGTATGTCTCTATCAAGTTACCTCTTAACCTTCTTCTCTCTAACGAAAACAGCCTCAAGACCCTCAGCCTTTCATCATAAGACCTTCCCTCCATACCAGGCAACATCCTGGTAAATCTCCT